AGATATATACAATATAATAAATGAACCTAAATAAAAAAATTAATTATATAAATACATATTATATTATAAACTTATAAATTTATAATGTCACGTGATATTATAATTTTAATATTTTTAAAAACACTAACTATATTGGATAAATATAATGATATTTTTTAGTCTTTAACTGCATAAAAACAATATAATTTGAATTATAAAAGTACTCGAACATCTTCGTGAATCTTAATCAGTTATTTATTTGGATTGAAAAAAATAGATGGATGGGCAGGGGAGGTAGACAACATCCTTTCATTTCCTTCCCCTTTTTTCCCTTTCCCTTCCCTCCTCTAAAATCAGTTGTTGTACTTTAAAACACTTCCCAAAGAGAAAATATTCACAAAGACGCCCCCTTTTATCTTGCTTCTTTTCTTGTTTTTGAGGGTGGGAGTTAAATGGCAGCTATATAATCCAGTTTACAAGAGGAGAAAGAAGGGTGAAAAAAATTGCACAAGGTTACATTAAAAAAAGAAAAAAGAAAAAAAGAAGCAGTCTCTTCATCACAATGAAGGAAACAAGCCCCAGTCACGAGGAAGATTCTTTCCATTCTAATCTGTTAAGTGCATCGATAATTGCCTTACGGAACTCACCGTTGTGGAGAAGGAAGGAGGAGACATGCCCGCTTGTCGTAAAAACTTATTTTTAATTATTTATTTTAATAAATTTATAAGTTTTAATCTATCAATTTATACAAAAATAATTTTAACACCTCACTTATATGAATTGAAAAAAATAACTCTTACTCAATATAACTCTTATTCAATATAACTCTTACTCAATATAACTCTTACTCAATATAAAATTATAATTTTTATCAATTGACTATTAATATTTTGTTAATAGACAATTGATAGACGGTTAATATTTAAGTTTTGTAATTAACACTTAAATAAGTTAATTTTTTTAAATAAATTAGAATAATATAAAAATATATCTAAAAAAATTAATTTAGATGTATGTATAAATTGATTAAAAAATATTCTATTAGTAAATTAAAAAAAAAGAGAGTCAACCTATTGCATTGTTAATTGTCTAGGATTTTCCTTATAAAGTATTTCTACATACACCATACGCGTCTATTGCTGCCTACATTGCTCAATGTTGATTGTGACAATGTCAAATTGTTTGAACGTTTTTCTTTTGACCTTTACCCATTTTATTTTGAACTATATGAAAGTAATTTCTCGTGACTTTTTTTTTAAGATAATTATACATACACCCAAACAATCAACACCTACCTCAACACCCAAAGATTATGAACAGTAAAATTACAAATTTACCCTTCCTCATTTTAATCTTAGGTGTTGAGATGGGTGTTGATTGTTTGGGTGTATGTATAATTGTCCTTTTTTTTACTATTACTTCTAACACGGACAACATTAGCAAATTTAGAAAAAATAAAAGCCCTATTTATATTCACTAACGAACTTTAACCAACTTTAACCAGCTTAGAATGTATTTGGTTTAATTGATAATTACAACTTATAAGTATTTTTTTTGATAATAAAGGGTTTTTTAACTCTAAAAATGAAATTTATTGATAAGTAAGTATCGCCTTATAAGTTAAGTTCATGATTTAAGTATTGATGTCAATATTTAAAAACTTTTTTGAATACACCAAACCAATGTTAGAGGTATGCTTTTAAAATTGTGAGAAAAAGTTGGTTGGAACACCCCTTGATTGTAAATATTATAAAAAAAAATTCTTAACTTATAAGATATAGGTTAAGATGTAATTGATATACTTTTTAGTTTTTAATTTATATGAAGAAATGCAAAAGTTGACATTAATTTTAATACTAATGCCTCTTAAAATAATTTTGATTAGATGATTGATAAATTAAAAATTAATTTTTATTTTTACAATACAAATTAATTATTGAAAAATATATTAATAGTATCTTTAATTTGTAAAAAAAAAAACCCAACAATAAATTAGACTGCTTTTAAAAGTATATTATATTATTAATTATCAATAGGTAATTATAGTCAACCAAACAATAGCTCTAACATCAAAATCAAAGCAATAATTTTTACAGCTCATATTCGCGTTGCTAGTAGAAGTGCACTCCACATGCATATTTACCACAGTCATAATTGAATGATTAAATTAATTGATAGGTGTCATAATATTATAAGTTAGATTTAATGTTAAAGTTTTAGAATAAAGATCTAAATTAAAATTTTTAAATATATTAAGTCAATATAAAAAATATTTTTAAAATTTATTAAAAAAATATTAAATTTAAAATATATAAAAATTAATTTAGAAGCATTCTAACTATAAAAAAAAATTTTTTTTTTCTGCCATACTTGCTAACGCACTTGATCTCTAATGTTGTCTCTTGGTTGACAATGTCATTTTCGTTGGACATTCCTTTTGCCATTTCATCGATCACAAACACAGGAGCAGGCTTCACCTGCCTTAAAAATGTCAATTAATTATAAATTTTTATAAAAAGATACATTTTTTAATTTTAAATATTAAATTTAAATTTCACTTTTTAATTTTATATTTATTAAAAATATAAAAATAAATAAATAAAACAAACAGATGAGCTGGCTCCATGCAGCGTGTCCTTTACTGGTGGAGGGTTGTAAATTGTAATACAATATCTTCCGATTGAGGAGAGTTCTTATCCATTTTTCCACCTGAATTCCTCGATCTTTGAGTCCAGCTCATAAAGAAAAATAATAATTTCTTAATTTGCCACCATCCTTGACCACTTGATTAATATTCCACCATGTAGGGCCCGTGCTACCGCTCTATGCGTATTAACACATGAGATAATTTTTTTTATTTTTTTTATATAATTTATATATATTATTAAATAAGTAAATATATTTAATATTATAAATTTTATATAAATTTAAAAAATTAATTATTTTAATAATATATTAAATTATAAAAAAATTAAAATAAAAAAATATATAAAAATTATTTCTCCCGACAAATATATACTTTTCACAATAATTATTGTATGAGATTTTAAAAGTTTCTTAATAATTACATAATATTTTTATTAATTTATGTATGACATTTTAAAATATAATAACCATAATTTATTTTTTTTTTTGTTTTTATTAAAATTAATTTAAAATAATATATAATTAAAAAAACATTATAAACTAAATTGTAAAATAGAATTTTTTAAATAAATTTACAATTAATATTTATATATTTTATTACATATAATAATAAAGAAATAAGATGAATTTTGATTATATTTTAGACGTAAAATTTTTCATACAATATTTTATTTACTTTTTTTTATTTCTAAAATAAAAAAAGAAAAGCACTTGGACTCACGACCCCAGATCGATTTGTAAGCTGCACTTAAATTGGGATTGAATTCCTTCTTCCCTCAAAATTTGTAATTTTGTTCAAAAAAAAAAAAAAAAAAAAGAAAAGAAAAGTATAGCACTTACATAATTAACAAAATTCAATTGACAATCAATCCATGTCGGGATCATGTCCACACCCCCTTAAATCTCATTAAAATTAGATGCAAAAATAACTTTAGACTTAAAAAAAATGCCATTGATTTACTAAGCTCGAAGTTTTCTTTTGACTCAATCTTCCAACACTTCATACATGCATCATTCAGAAACAAACCAGAGCCCCCACACCATTATAAATCAGACATCTTTTTCCCTCAAATTATCTCATCAAACCCAAAAATGAAGCTATCTCTGCATTTCCTCCTCCCTCTCCTCCTCCTCTCCGCCCTCCTCTGCCCCTCCTCCGCCGTACTCTGCCACCCTCAGGACAAGAAAGTCCTACTCGAAATCAAAAAAGCCTTCAACGACCCTTATGTTCTATCCTCATGGAACCCCGACACCGACTGCTGTCACTGGTACTGCGTCAAATGTGACCGCACCACTCACCGGATCATCTCCCTTGTCATCATCACCGACAACAAAATCTCCGGCCCCATCCCACCTCAGGTCGGCGACCTCCCCTTCCTCCAAACCCTTATATTCCACAAACTCTCCAACATCACTGGCCCTATTCAGCCCGCCATTGCCAAACTCAAAAGCCTTAAATTTCTCTGGTTGAGTTGGACCAACATTTCCGGCTCTGTCCCTGACTTCCTTAGCCAACTCAAAAATCTAACTTTCTTGGACCTTTCATTCAACAATCTCACCGGTTCAATCCCCAGTTCGCTCTCTTTGCTCCCAAACCTCGACGCCATCCATTTGGACCGAAACAAGCTTACCGGCTCAATCCCGGCATCCTTTGGGGAATTTCAGGGGAGTATACCGAATTTATACCTTTCCCATAACCAGCTTACCGGCAAAATCCCGGCTTCTTTAGGCAAATTGGACTTTAACACCATTGATTTTTCAAGGAACAAGCTTGAAGGAGATGCCTCCATGCTGTTCGGATCGAACAAGACAACGTTTTTAGTCGATCTGTCAAGGAACATGCTGGAATTTGATCTATCCAAAGTGGAGATTCCGAAGAATTTGCAGTATTTGGACCTGAACCATAATAGGATCACCGGAAGCATTCCGGTGGGGTTCACCGCCGATAGTAATCTGCAGTTCTTTAATGTGAGCTACAATAGGTTGTGTGGGGAGATTCCGGTGGGAGGGAAGTTGCAGAGCTTTGATTACTCGTCTTACTTCCACAACAAGTGCCTGTGTGGGGCGCCACTATCAAGTTGCAAGTAGGGCCATGTGTGATGATATCAGCATCCCCAGAAAGTCATCAGCAGCTTTCGTGCTAGCTGGCCT